GGTGGCGTGAGGCGGGGACAGCGCGGCCCGGACCTGGCCGGGGCTCTGCGGCCTCCCTGCGCTAAGGGTGCGGGGGTGGGGCCATCCACCCCAGGGCAGCGATGGCCAGCCTGGCCGCCAAGGATGCCTACCTACAGGGCTTGGCGAAGAAGGTCTGTGGGCAGCGCCCCCCGGAGCCGCGGAAGAGGAAATATGGTAACGGAGCTGCAGCGCTTCGGCGTCTGCCCCTCTCGGCCGGGGGTGGGAGCCTGGGCCAGTGGCACGCTTGCTTCCACGGGGGGCTCGGCCCGGGGCAAGACACTCGCATACGTGTGGTGGCTGGGCGTGGGAGGGTGGGATTTTGATGAAGGGTCCAAGCGTGTTTGGTGCTATTTAAAAAGATCATTTTTAAAGATTGAGATATGCTATTTCGATGCTGGCACTTTAGTCTTAATAACATAAGTAATAACTGAATGTTATGAAGTGGGAACACAGTGTTGTCCTGTTTTGTATAATGTATTTTTACCTTCTAGAGTCTAAGCCAGGCCAGCATGGTGATGCTGACAGACAGCTCAAGAAAAAGAAGAAAAGGAAACCCGGGAAGACAGTTGAGAAGACAAATGCTCCTTCAGGCAAACAAGTGACGTCTAACACTAATAAACCCACTCCAGGACAGAAAGCAGCCCCACAGGCCAGCAAATCATCTCCACAGGGTGTTACACAGAGCAGCAATGAGAGTTTGGGTGCAGGTAAGAACACCAGCATTGCCATGATCTGGTTGAAGTTACCTGAGCTGAGGTGGCTGCTTTTCGGTTCCTTTGCGTGTTTATAGTTTAAAAAGCCTTTAAGAAGTTCAGCTGAATTGGAAACATCTTTATTCCATGTGCCCTAAAAGCTTTTGCATGCATACATGCATTTGTAACATCACCACTGGGTGGCTTTCTGGAAATAGCTTTTAGTCTGAACTGCAGTCTTTTTATGTATTTGAGTAACATCTGGGGATTACTGCATGGATGCAATCTCTGTTGTGCCAGGCCGGCTTTCGGTGATGAATCTGAAAAGCCTGATGAGGAAGAAAAGATGTCCTTGGTGGCTTTGTTTCCACTGACTTGGTACTGGTGCTCTGGCTTGTCAGGCAGCCACAGGGTGAGCCAGGGCCCTTCTGGCTGGGAGTGCTGAATGATAATATGGATAGAAAAGGAGGGATTCTGCAGAAACCAATGAAATCAAAACTCTTGGTTTCTTTAGATTTTGTGTTCTATTCAGAGCATATAAAGAGCTCTCAGAGCTTTTCCTGTAGTGACAGCAAGTTTTTCTGTTTAGCCAATGCTGTCTTCTACGTATTTTTATTTTCTTCCTCACATTTTCAGGAAACAAAAGTGAAGTGGGATCCCCTTCTTTTTTCGCAATGAATCTCTTGCGTCAGAGACTACATGAGAAGATTAAAAAAGCTTCTGGACAAGTATGAGAACTCTTAATGTGTATCCATATGTGTTTTTATGCAATATAAATTCTCCCTAGCCTTCCAGGGATATGGGGCCAAGACTGCAGTCTTACAAGGCTCAAGGTTTGAGCTAATTTCATCCCTAGGGAAGTGCCTGTAGGTGTTGCTGGGAGACCTGGGTGTATTCTGTGATATGGAAAACACAGAATCACAGAACGTTAGGGATTG